TTCTATCATACATCTACTTTCTTGCTTCTTGCGTTGTTATGTTTCTACAGAAATTTTACCGTTTTTGACATGTACGAAACTATCAGATAGCCATATCAAAAAGTTATCCATTTATTTATATAAACATATACATCTATATAAATAAATAAAGTAGTATAACATCTGTATATCAGAATAAAATATTTCATACAGAAAGAAGCCAAAACAAGATTATTTACAAGATTATTTTCATCGAATTTATTGTGTATAAAACAGTAAATAACCCGAAATACCACTAGTTTTTCAGCGACACATAGCTCAACCGTCCTCATCGGACCGCTAGTTTTCTCCATCAACTATATATAGTATTTGACACGTTTTCTCATTTGAACTCACTCACAAACCGTGGGTCCAGTTAGTCTATTTCCCTACTAGAGATTTGATGCTTTCTATTAGTTTCCCAGGAAACTGATATGATTGCCTGAATAATCACAAGGGATCTTTAACGGGCATAATGGACATAAATGCCATAATAGACATAATCGGCATAATTCCCGTAATCAACATACTCGGGATAATGGGTATAACGAAATTCTCAACTATCAATAGAATTCCGGATTTCCAAAATTCTCAAATTCTCAAGTAGGAATAGAATTCTCTAGTTGTCAGCGAGGCAGTTACGCAAGATACTCATGTACTTTTCAATACTCCGATCTAACGTCATAGTGTTTGCCATAGAAATGGGAGTATATTCTAGCGAGAAACTAGTGCTAAAAGTCAAGGAATAAGCACAAAGTAGTGAAACTATCATTTATTTTTCGCATCGACATACGAACATTTCAACAACTTCTTTAGCTTTTTTCATTTCAGTTCACCTTCGCAAAATCTCACAACGTAAACAGCACGTCGTGCAACTACTTTTCGAATTCACTCTCACATTCCCCTCCCCCCCCACCCACCGCGCTGTATACGATTAATCCTGAACATGTGTCTGATATATAGATTTTGTGTGTGTGAACTAGTTTGGTTTCCTGGAAACTCGTTTGATTTCCGGAAACGCATCCGATTTCCTGGAAAGCCATATAGAGCATCATATGCCACTATACTAACAGAAACCATTAGGAGTCGGGCAAAAGTAGGTCGAAAAACAGGGGAGTACACTGACCCGCTGAAACAGTTAAGTCTTTACATGAGAGTAAGGATGGTGACTTTGAAAATTATTGTAAGAATCAAATCTGTAATTATCATAAAGAGTTATTGTATCCAACGAGGGGCGCTGAATGGAAAGAATTGAAATCGTATTATCCGTTCGTTGCACGGACACGTTCGAAACTGTTTTGCTGTACAAAATGAAGTCGGTCTTACGGTTCGCCCGGACAATCGTTGAAATGGCGGTATGTTTCATACGGATTACTCATCTATATATTCTACTATGTAGATTCTTGATGAAAATTTTGAAATAAATTTCAATATTCACTAAGAAAAGGCTAAGAAATACCCATAAGAGATCGAAGATTTGAGAAAGACCATGCGATTACTCAAGCACATATAGTTCAAAATTTTCATCACTTTTGTCAGAAGAACTCAAGGTTCATAGGCAGAACGTGAAAGCGAATTTCTTTCTTTTTTTTGAAATATGTGATTGAACATGTTCGAATACATTCCATTGCACTACTAATTTTCGGCACGTTGAAGTTGATTATTTTTTATATAATAATGACACAATCAATAAGTGTGTGTAATAAGAAATTTGATTAAAGAAGTGAACAGTGGAAACATTTTGTTCTCTTTTCGGACTATAATTGAGAAACATTTGTCCACAATGTGAATCTGCAACAAAAGTCTTAACTTATGTACTGTGGTGATTGGATATTACACCGAGACGCTACGAGCGTAAGCGTTTCCGAGCTAAATAAATAAAAATTGGATCTTTACATTTTCTTATAATTAGAAAGTTAATTGTCAGATCATCTATAAAATACAAATAACAATCATCATGATAGTCTGACAAAAAAAAAAAGGCTCTTTTTCTCTATTGTCGATATTGAGGAATAACGCACTTATATAAGAATTTTTTCTTCCTTTTGAAGTAGAAAATCGAAGAAAACAAACGCGAAATCACAGCAGAAAAAATGACGTAAATTTTCAAGACAATCTATGTAGAGTAGCCTGGCGTAATCATGATCTGGATAAAAAATTTTCTCAGTATTCTCTATTTTTGGTCCTAAAAGTATACGGTCTTTTGAAATTACATGATAGCCAAAAGCAATTGCAAGTCCAACTGTATGTTTACAAATTTATTCTTTGCAAAAGAATCTGCACGAACAAAAGTTTCGTTGAACTGAAACTATGTGAGCAGATTCATACAATATCTTAAAATGATGAATGAATGTATGAAACTGGATTTATGAAGAGAGAATATCTTATTAAGAAAAAAGAACGTGCAGCAACCACTAAGAAAAGAAGGGCAAAAGAACCAGAAAAGAAAGTGTTTTGCTTTCTGTAAACTAAGGAAATAAGACAGAAAAGATATCTTAGCAGTGTATATAGAGTAAAGTGTCCGGAATAAAATGGCATAATCTTCCAAAAATTTGATTTGGTATTAACGAAGAACCATGCAGGTCCGTTAGCATAGGTCGAACAGCACAAAATCATTTTTGTCATTTTTTTCAGTTGATGAAAAAATCAAATAAGAATGGCAGTCTAACTAGTGGTAATTTGAATATCAAAACTCAGAGACTTTTTTCAAACATCAGACGAACGTTTAGGGGATCGAGCGATAGCCTATCGCTCGATACCCGGTGAGCGAATATTTTGCGCCAGCAAAAGTTCTGGTCTGTTCAAAATGTTTTGAACTCGGACATTTTCGGAGTAATTGTAAATATGAAAAAGATAAATGCAGGACATGCGGACTGGAGGTGGATGATATTAAAAAACATAGAGAAGAAAATTGTGATAAACAGTCACATTGCATTAGATGTAAAACTAATCACGATTCAACCGATTTGAGATGCCCAACTATTAAAACCTTTCGTACCGAATTAACAAAGTCTTTGTTATCTTCATCTACACATGACAACAATAAATAACAGCAACGACAACAAGGATTTGTACGACAGAATGGTATTAAGGAGTTCCCACCATTGAATTCTGAAACATTTCACACATGGTGTGTGAAATGTTTCAGAATTTTCTATGAGTTAGAAGGAATAAAAAGTTTTTTGGTTGTAGAATGGTAGAGAGTTGGCTGAGCGATTCAGTGACAGCAGACAAATTAGATATATCGGAGTATGAATCTATGAGAAACAATAGAGATGGTACAGAAGGAGACATTGTATATTAAAGATCATATACAATTCACTGTGATCTTAAAAAGTAATAATTCTAAGTAGGGGTGTAGCCGTAGCAGTTTTCAGTCTCAACTGTGAACGGTAATTCATCAGTTGACGTTCTGAATTGTCAATGTTGAAATTCACTCATCTACGATCCTTAAATGAGTGAAACCTTTTTCTTTTTCCCGTAAAGTCTTGACTTGAATGACGATCTTTCGTCTATCAAAATGTTTGAAAAATTTGCTCGTTTTCTGCCTCTTTTTTTCAGTTTTCTTCCGCATGATTCTTCTCAATGCTTTTCGGTCTACAAGTCAGCTTTTACGTTGACAGTTGAGAACGTCAATTGACGAGATGCAGTTCACAGAACTTCAACGTACGAAATACAGTTAACAGTTGAGAACGTCAACAGCAAAAAACGTCCCTGTAGCGTTCAAATTTTTGTCTCTAACTTCGTGTGCCCTAGTCATCGATTCTTATATAAGAATCCTACTAGAAACGTCTCTTACCAGTGTCATACAAAGTTCTTATCGGAATCTTATCAGTTTCTTATATAAGATTGTTTAAGATTTCCTATCGATAGTCGTAATTACGATAGGTTTCTAGAGGAAAAGCGATTATATATTGTTCGTGCCGAAAATATGCAAATGATTCATCTAAAAGCGTTTTTATTATCAGCATCAGTCGACAAGCCAGCTGTGACTCTGTTACAAAACACGTCCGAATACAATGGTCCTTACGGCTGTTTCCGGTGTGAATTAAAAGGTTGACTTGAAAAAACTTTTTCTTGATACGGAAAAATGAGAATACCGGTTCTCGTCTAACCTAGGTGTTACAGTAAATACTGGGAAAAATCATATTCGAGTGTTTCCAGCGTTACCTAGCAATGAAGAGCAGCCTAAATTAAGAACAAATATACGTTATGATGAAATAACAGAATATGTTTCAACGACTGATCCAACCACAATTCAGACGGCAAGAGAAATTCAAATATTCAAGGATAATAAAAAAGGAATTAATGGCAGATGTTATTTGCGTCAATTAAGGTATTTTGACTTCGGTACTTCGTTTGTCTTCGATAGTTTACACTCACTGTATGGGGGTGTTTTTGTAAGTATTACTCGCAACTTTTATTTCTGTTGCCATACCAAAAATTTCTATATAGCGTTAGACTGTCGAGGAGAAATGAGTAAAGCACTTTCGAGCTTCCAAGTTTGAAGAACAAAATTATAGAGTGATTTTGAATGATAAACTGCTAAGAAATAGTATCTTCAGTTTAGAAATGTTTGGTCAAAATGTGGCTGTCATACGATTATCGAACGAACGAATATTCTTGCTATTATCATTTGAAAGAACTGATCATAAAATTTCAATCATTCAAATATCCATCTACCACCTACCGCATACCAAGAACATTGACAAACTGGAAAAAATTCAAATCAAATGAGTTGAGAGTTTTACTACTATTTGGTTATATTATTTTTTATCAAACGTTGCCGGAACAATATTTTAATCATTTTTTAAAATTGGTATTAGCTGCTCACCTGTCAGAAAATCGTGATATCAAACCAGACAATATACGGTACGTCAAAATGTTGATGAATTCATTTGTGTCCGAATACGAAGAATTATATAGCACAAGACAAATGTTATCCAATGTTCATTCTCTTGTTCACATTGGAGCAACGTTGTGTGACTACGGACAGTTTTCAAATTATTCAACCTTCAATTTTGAATCTCTGCTAGGTGAGTAAACAAGAAAAACCTTATTAACATCCCATGTCCTATACAGCTAAAAATAGCATTACAAGGGATCAATCTAAATTCAGATCGGTACTATCTTCACTACAGGCACAATAACGGCCACAGTGAATGGCAGTCATTTATTTGCCGAAGAAATTGCCAATAATTTGGATCAAATGCGTGTCATAAATCTCAACTTGGTTCAAAACAAATTGCATCCAAACATTCGTCAGATTATGTTGCATTTAACCGATTTATCATCATCGTTGAGACAAAATAAATCGTTGGCAGACCAAACCATTAAAACAATTGCCGAAAAAGCCGTTAAACCCAGTTTAAAAGTGGATGCGTCAATAAGAAATACCTTTCATGCGAATGGGGAGGTACCCATTTCTTATTTCTCATCCGTTTATACCAACGATATTCGGTTTACAACAAAATCGTCCAAAGGTCCACAGAACATCACCGATTCGTGTATTTTATTCAAATGTGGTCAAGATGTTTGCGCTGCCACAATTACCGACATATTTCAACTACGCGGCAAAACCTATTTGCGAGTCTTACCTCTACGTGTGACGACGAAAACTGGTGTGCCTGTTGACGACAAAATTTTAAATATTTCGAATTTATTCATCGGCAAAGTTTCAAGTGGTGACTTCATGTATTTGATACCTGATCATATTATCGAAAAACTCGTGTATTATTATGAGAAGGACAGCAAACTTGACGTTTTTTTCCGTTTTCCAACACTTATAGAAAGTACATAACGAATTTTGTTTTAATCAGACTGCTTTTAATGATGAATGATATTTTAATAAAACAATTTTCTTAGAAAGGATCATCTTGTGAAATGGTCATAAAACAAGTGGAACATCGTGCTATAAAAAAGACTTTTTGGTACGAAAATTTTTCTTTGAATACGTTGAATCAACGTTTGGTACCTTTAATACGTTTGAGTACATTAAATGCATGAACAAAAATTTAACACCTTCGTATGTCTCAAAAGTTAATGCATTTTGGAGCTTTCAATTTTTTTTCATTTTTATAATGCGTTTTCACATATTCAACTAGTTCAAATGCCTTATAAACTATACCATTTAAACTTCTTAAAACTTTTAACGAGTTCAAATACGTTGAAAATTGAACACGTTAATTCTCAAGGCGTTTGAAAGTATTAAAAGAATAAAATTGTGCTTTAAAGGCGTTTGAACGCATGAAAAATTGTAAGAAGTTTAAATGCGTTAATTATTAAAATGCATTTGGAGGTGTTGAGCTTCTAAAAATGCGTTAGTAAAATTAAAAAGTTTAAGGCTCCTAAGTGCATTAACTTTTAAGGCATGCGAAGGCGCTAAAACTATTTTTTTATTCATTTAATGTGTTCACACGTATTAAACGTCCGAAACGACAATTTTTACGCGTTCAAAGGAAATTTTTCATATCAAAAAAATCCTCTGAGCAACCTTGACTTTGAGGATGACGGGGACGCCCTTGAACAAAACATAAATTTGGAAACAAATTTTTTAACTCTGTTATAACACTTGCGACAAATTCTTTTCCATTACCACTATGAAGTACTCGCGGAGGACCAAAAAGAAAAAACAGTTCTCGCAATTTTAACGAAACATCGACAGCTGACTTATTTTTTAACGGAAACGCCCATGAATATTTGCTAAAATGATCGACACAATTTAGAATCCAACGATAAAGTACATCAGCAGAAACTGTATCTGGTCTGGTTCGCATATCAACAAGATCAATTTGGAGTCTTGTCATGACACCCAATGATATTATCGGTTTCGAAGCAACATGTTGTTTTATCGGTTTTCTTAATTGACATGCTACACATCCTTTCAAAAAAATCTCGACAGCAAATCGTGGAATCCAAGAATAATGAGAATTTATTTCGAAAATAGTCTTATTGCGACCTCCGTGAGAAACATTTGCATGACTTTCTTTTATCACGTTGTCGAACGCTTCAAATACACATATCGGCTTTTTGGTTTTGGCACAACATGCAATATCTATACCAGCTATTTTCAATAAGATGAAATTTTTTCTAACCCAAAAAAGAAACTGTGATGAGAATAAATTTGATGACTTACTTTTTTCCAACAACAAACCTTTTACAATACCATCAAATGTACTCTATTTAATAACGCTCTTTTCTCGATATTTCTCTGGTAAAGAGTCGATGTGTTTTTGCACTTCAACGTAAAAGAGTGTTTCATTGTTATTAACTTCAATAGCTTGGACAGTAGTTATAGATGATGACGTCATTTTTTTTAAAAACAAGTAAAATGAATGTGATCACACGACGAGCAGTATTTATACTATATGTTAGGAGTCAAAAGTATCTAGAACATCGTCTTATTAGTTTTCTCCTCGATTCTGCAGATCATGTTTTGTACACGCATGAACTGACTGATAAATTTCAATTTGTCGTTCCTTCTTCTACAGTATTCTTATTTCTCTTTATAGTTAAGTGAAAAAAAGAAGAAAGACTATACACAACTATTACTTTCTAGATCGAACAAAAAAAAGAGATACATGATGAACAAGTGGTTAATAATGCTTTTGTTGGTACTCCTTGGCCGACTTATAGAATGACATGGGGTATAAAGTAGCACCAAGACAACCAGCCACCTTTACGTGGTGAAGTGGATAAGTATTCTGTCTCAGCAAATGAGATATTATCAATCAAACTGTACATCATTTGCTGAGACAGTAGAAACTAAGAGCATGGTTTTATCGTGAAAAATCACATTTTTAGTACCGGTTCTCTATCGGTCATACCCGAATCCAAAGTCTTTGGAACCTCGCCCTAAGGAACGAATTGAATGACGCATCCATAGCAGCGAGCTGGCATTGGTAATTAAAAGAATTTTGCGAGTCTCATCTACGTTCTTGTAATGTGAAAGAAGATACTTCAACTTCAAGTTTGACTGGCTAAATTTTAAATTTGACCGGATTTTAAGTTTGCCCAAAAATTTTCTTCTGGTCAAAACTAAAATTTTAAGTCTGCCCGGTCAAAACTGAAATTTCAGTTCTGCCCGGGCAAATTTTAAATTTGACCGAATTTCAAGTTTGACCACAACATATATATTGATACGCCACGCGTATGATTGACGATACTAACGTTTTTTTCTCATTTTAAACGAGACGGAAAATAGTGCCTGTTATATAAGGCACTTTATTTCTTAAAGTAGACTATACTTTTATACTCGAACTTTTTGCAGTTTATATCTGCTTTTTGAACTTTTTTAAAGTAGAACTAAAGTGAGTCTGAGGTGAATGACTGACCCTGATTGCATTATGTTCCCGAAGAGAAAACCGGGTGAAACATGATGAAATCAGCGTCTCAGCTATCTTAAGAAACATTCCTTTTAAGAGACGCTTTTATATCAAAAGTTGTTGCTTTTCATTCTTTTTTGTGCTTAGTTAATCTGTGAAAGAGATGTATCTCAAAACAAAACTTGTCCAAAAATCCGATACTGTAACTTTGTGACTAGCGAAAATGAGTCCTATTTAGATAAGGGAACAGAGAGCTGAATTTACTGTGTACATCTTCTGAATTTACTACCTGCCTCTTTATTCATACTGATTTTTTCAAAAAATACAATTTTTTGTGTTTGGGACTCCCACGGGACTTTTTGTGGAGTCCTGCAGGACTCTCTATAGATTTTTTAGGAAAAATGACTCCCGCGGGACTTTTACACAAAACGAGAGGCCCGCGGGACTTCTGCCGGGAGTCTCGATTAGGGTGAACACTCGCTCCAGAAACATTAACTTATTTAAGTCTTAGACATTTAAGCAGTAAAATAAGTAATCTGCATTTTTGCAGGGAGTCCTATTTTGATCACATATCTAATGCAAGAGTCTTGACTATTCTTGTTTTGTCGTTTGGTCATACATCACGTAGTCATATATGTACCCTCAGTCTGTATATATTATATCGAAATTTGATGTTCTTTTTCTAGAGAAACGAAATTTTAGAAACTCAGATATTCGGAATCAGCGCAATGAGTTACGTTATATGGCGCAAAGATTTCGTCAGAATACCCGCGTTTTTTGGACCCGTGAGCTCAGCTGTAGGTTCTCCCGATATCTTATACTATATTCAACTTTTCTCCCGTTCTCTTTTATGGCATTTTTCTTTGTTTTTATGTGTTTTTCTTTCTATGCACACTATAGAGAGAGAGAGTTAAAGTAAGAAATGGAAAAAAATAATTCTATCTTTTTATCCAAAAGAAAGATTGCATTCTATATGAAATTAGTGTACATTCTGGCAACTTTCCAGATTAAAAAGTTAAGAAATTTGAAGAAGTTAGCCTTTTTCAGCTTTCCTAGCAGTTTGAAGTACACAAGTTGTACTTCAAGTCAAGCTATTTTTTTTAAAAAGGTCATGGTGGTAAGAGATAATTTATGCAAAATAGAAATGAAAGTAGTTAAAACACTGCTATTATCATTAAGCAGTATCGTTAAATAGAGCTATTAATAATCAATAAATAGAGTGTTAAATGATGAATAATAACTACTCATAAATTACCGTTCTATGAACTGAATTCTTTATTAGTCATATCAAACAATAGTATTCGTGGATTACTTCTTGGGCGAGCTAGACTTGTCAAAGATATCCTTGATGTCGTAATGTTTCACTCAGAAATTAACTGTGAATCGTTCCCATTTGTGAACTGTGATTATCACAGATACTTTAGGCCTTAAGGCCTTTCTCTGAATGAAAATTCTTCTTTTCGAAAAATATGCTTTCCTTCTCGAGATATTTGAAAAATACTAAAAGTCCTGTATGAAACACTGGTTTTTTTATTCTAAAACTCTTGTCACGCTGAAAGTTGAAATTGAAAACGCTTAAAAAAGTTGATATGCTGAGATAGGGTCTGAAGTATCTGATGTAACATTTTGAGCTCAATTCGACCATTTTCTCGAGGGATTGTAATGTGACAGGATTGAAGGGATTATCGAAAAAACGCATATCATACAGAGAGCTCTGTTTTTTAGGGCATTTCTAGTAATGCTCATATCTCCACGAAAATTCAACAGAGAATTCTGGAAAACCTCTTATATTGAAGAGTACACTTTCTTCTATTAGCCTATGTATAAGAAAAGAATTTTAATACATAAGAAAGGAGAGGAAGATCTACGGAACTAAAAGGTTGAGATTTTATAGGCTCTGAAGGAAAACTTAAGAGTTTTATAACTTTTTCAAGGAAGGTCATGAAAAGCTGGAAGCGGACAACATCGTCGTTAAGTCAATGACAATATTTCTACGCTTTTTGTTATCAACTATTCAGTTATGTTTTTATATGTCTCTTCTCGCGTTAAATGACCTTTACTCAAAGTATTTTCATTATTCTATCTCTTTCGCCTAGCGCAAACATCAACTATTATACGCCGTTCGATAGAGAATTTCACGGCCTACACAAGGAAATAAAAGACAGGCAGAAGAAAATATAACTGGATAGTGTAAGATTCGAAATGCCAGGTAGCATCTCAGCAAATCGGTCGGCTAACGTCGTTCATGTTTATAATAATGACTTATTTTCTAGTTAATCACTCTACTTTATATAGCATTTGATAAAGGTTTTCACAGGTTACAAACTAGTATAAGAGATTATTTTAAGTTTGCCTTCGTATATGTATCGAGCAAATACTGGATACTTAACTTGGTTTTTTTCTTTATTGGCACAGAAAAATGATTATAGTTTCAATCTACTGGCAGATATTAAACATAGTTTGTATATAGAAAGATGCAGAATTGAAAGAACTAAAGAGTGAGGCATAACGTGTGCTTTTAAATTGGAAGTTTGATAGTCTTGTGGGGAAAAGAAGAAAGAGCGTTTTCCGATCAGTTTTGGTGACATGGGGCCTTTCTTAAATCGAATGCTGTTTGATGAAACAGTGCTGTAGAGAGCTCAGAGGACTCTTGATCTGCTCAAAAATCTTTGCTGTACACGATGAGGCTATTGCAAAAAATGTATCAGTCGAATTCGTGAACTTAGTTTTCTACAGTTTGGGTTGTCCAGTGACCTGCGCTCTAGAAAGTTCAGTGGAACCTTTATTAGCCACAGAAGAGATAAAAGACTCGTTCAGCGATTCGAATCTTTCCTCAGATTCGTTGAAGCTATTATCTTCGAGGAGTAAAACTGAAAATAAATGCGGCTCAATAGTTCTGAAAGCTACGGTAAATAAAAGTCGCGACAGTCATATACTATTTACTGTATAAATGCTTGACAGCATACTTTTTAAAAAACTGATATATTTGATATCGAAGCACATTAAATTCTGCATTTTTCTATGTCATAAGCATTTCGGTTCCCATTTCCTATTTTGTGTACAACACTGTATCTCATTCACCATTCCACAATTTGTCGAAATTACTGCATCCGTTAGCTCTCTAACCCCTAAATCTGACCAAACAACGATTGCAATAACTACTTTATGCCTCATTCTATAGTCCTTCCAATTCAACATCTTTCTATATACAAACCATGCCTAATCGTCTTTATGGATCTTATTTCAAAACTTGGAAAGAAATTATGCGTTTAGCAAAAGGACGACAGAAATTAATTTTGCGCTTTAGTGTCAGCCAATCTTTACCTCACCTTAGAGTCATAGCAAACTCTCTCAATTACCATTTATTTCCTTCATTTCTATTCTCTTTCGTTTGTTTGTTATATTTCATATAAATCTTCATTAGGTAATCTTTGTTCTTTTAAACGTAATGCTTCATTTTTGTATTTTTAATATAGTTTTTTCAATGACTAATTACATATAAAAAGCAGATCGGTCTCTCAACATAAGACTAGTCAATTTGTACTGTACATAGCTCAATTATCATTGTTTGACCACTGCAATTAACAACATTGGTTGAGACATTCAAGTGTGCAGAAAAATGCAAGAGCACTGACAAAGCCGTTCAGTATACTAAAACAAAAAGAACAGAATAGGTCATACAATCATATGTTGCCCTAACGAAGCTCTACTTACGCATGTCCTATTCCTCCGCCACCACGAAGATGTTGTGGCTCTAGCTTTTCTGTTGATGACAGTGGTTCAACTTTTACTTCGTTTACTGATATTTTTGGTTGTTCTTTTATGATGACTTGATCTTTTGGTTGTTGTCCAACTGGTTGGATAATGTTTTCCATTGTTTCCATTTATAGCTGCACACAAAACAAATAAATGCTCGAAGGCAATGGATGATTTTATTTTCTAACTTACTCTGTTTATTTCTACTAACTGTATCAAAAGACGTTTTCTAATAGCTCTTCCTCAGAGTAATACGAAACTTACTCAGGCATATCGCCTGCTTTAACCGACATGTGATATCACCCACCTCATTTACTTCTCTATTCTTCGATTTCTATGTGTATTATATTTGATAGAAGCACATATGATGTGTGATCAAGCAGGAGATGAAGAAGATGAAATAAAAGTACTGTCATGACTTAATGCACTTTTAGTATTACAGGCAATCGATCTGCTTAAAAGATCCGCTTGGGATTAAAAAGTTATGCGATCAGATGCTGCCGGTCTAATTTTGTTCATAGCAGACTTGGTTTTGTGAATATTTGATAATCTTCATATGGGTGACGGATATGACAAGTAAATTGTTTTCAGCTTCAGCATAAAAGTTGATTTATTTGAAGTGGATGTTGAGCGAATTTGAAACTCTGCATATATTAAGTTGGAATTGTTAGTTTATTGTACAATTGCATCTGATGGGATCCTGCCATTTTAACGTATCTCTACTATATCGTTGTTCGCTCAAAGTTTAGTGGTAACGGGTTCTGCTTAGAATCAGAGAATAAATGGATAGTTTCGCATTTGCGCAATGATTAGTTTGTGAAAAGAGAGATATAGATCACTTTTGGGAGAAATCTCTTTGCTGTTTATGCTCTTACTGTCGATTACCAATTTGGAAGCAAAATGGTGAGTATTACGGGCCACATGTTATTGTGATAGCATTATAACAGACCTCAAGTGTTGAATGAAGGTTTGGTTTTTCGTCGTATTTGTCGATGCTGACTTTTCAAACTATAGTAGTCTGATTCAGCACCCAGAACTTGACATTTATATCTATATAATGTTTAAAAGATCAGCTGTATAATAACATGGGTGTTCAGTACAAACTATAGATGGATATTGTCTTCCTTATTCTCTACACAAAAATAAGAGAGAGAGAGAGAGAGAATAACAGGAAAAAAGAAAGCCGCTAATTTCAACGTAAAGCCACTTTTCGATTCTTTCTCGAAAACTAGACCTTTCACCAGAAAAATGGCATCAGATTTGGAATGCACAAACGAATCAAAATATGTCAACTTTTATGCAATAGAAATATCATATTCGGACTCAGGATTAAAAACTGACGAGAACGTTCTGAGGTGTCCGCTCCCGATTTCAGTGATTTGTATATGGATCGATAGATCTCAGTGAGTTAGTAAATACCCCAAAAGGATTCGGGCCCATGACTCTTGGAGGCTCGGTTTTTTGGAAAACCGGTTTTTCAGAAACTCTAAAAAATAACCAAAACCTTTGAGCCATAATTGTAGCCCGCAAATTTCCGATTAAAATGAGACATCTCTCAGCTCTACAAGACCTTTCTTTGCAAAGTTGCAATGACGAGTTTTTTAATTTTTGAAGAAAAGAGCCCAAAATGGGTTATTTCAACTAGTGCAGATTTTCACTCTGTTCTTCCACTTTTTATTCTGAAAATTAACATTGCTACGGGATTCAGCGTGTTCGATAGCCTATGTATTCACCATTTCAAAAGGTCCCAGAACAAAGAAGACAGCAGTCTCAGGATTTCGGGGAAAACGTCCGAAGCTCCCGAGCCAAGTAAATTAAAACCTTTGCTTAGATCTTATTTTGTAGAAGACACTTTGGACTATCTACCCATGAAATAAATCGAGTGCTTGCTATGTAAAATTTTTAACGTACAAAGTGGTTTTCCAGAGATCCTCTGGAAAATCGATTTCAAAAATTTGTTTAAAAACGCTTTTGCAAATGAAAATATAGGTTAAACTGTTTTCTTTCGACTGCGAACACCGCAAGTCTCTACCTTTTATCGTCTTTAAGTTATTCAGAAAACAACTACCGGTCTTATACTTTGAAACGGACAGTAGTATTTTTCAAGAACAGCAGATTGTGGCTTAACAAAACACGATGGACAAAAACTTTTGCTAATGAAACTCCTCCTTAGGTGCCAATTAAGGTACTGAGTGGAATACTTTTTTCAGTGTAATGGAAAGCTTTGAGAAAAATTGAATTTTAAGTTTTTTAATAATTTTAAATTCTTGAATTCAATTTTTCTCAAAGCTTTTCCGTTACACTGAAAAAAGTATTCCACTCAGTACCTTATTCGGCACCTAAGGAAGAGTTTCATCAGCAAAAGTTTTTCTCCAAAATTTCTCCAAAGTTTTGCTCCATCGTGCTTTGTTAAGCCACAATCTGTGGCAAGGTTCTTGAAAATTACTATTTCGGTGAAAAATCGACATTTCAAGAAAAACATAATTGTTATTAACCGAACTTCATTCGAAGTTCGCAATAATTTCAGCATATGGGCAGTTCTATCTCCTTATTCAATAAGAGCTAGTCTTATCATTAGAACATTCTTCTTTAATGAACAAGTTTCTCACATATGTAAGTTGACATGGGCAACAAACTGATGTAAAAAACCGATTCTGAGCAGATGCGTAGAATGAAAAATAAAAAATAAATTATTTTCGGTAAATAGATGACTGAACAACCTGGGTTTTTAGAAATCCCTACTCCCGACACTTTAAAATTATTTGGTCATCGGACAGAACATCGCTCAAAACTAGGTATGCACCAGTACCGGTACCGGTACCAGTAAAAATGCTCCACAAAAGTTTAAGACCCTTTTTGTTTCTGCAATAACTCAACTTCCTTGATAGATACAGACTCCGTTCTTTCGCCAAAAGAAAGCCTACGTTGAGTAGTATAAATCCTGAGAAAATGGTTAAGTTCCGGGTTAATTTGACTGAGCTAAAGCAAAAACGCGGTGTTTTACACACTTGGAAAATCTTACTTTCTGAGTATTTCACGTTTCCTAACAAAGAGAACTGCGCAAAAAAAAGTCAAAAATATATCATTCGATAGAAAAGTTTACGGGCTATCCGTTGCTGATCAAACTTTCAGCTTTTGAGCATCTCTCTA